TTAAATTTTTTTTAATTAAGACATTTTATATTCGTTCTACAATAATATAAAACTAGTAATTCTTATATAGAATATATATATCTGTATTATATTGTTATTTGCATGAAAACTTATACTTTTCTAACGTTTATATTTATACTTGAACGGTATCGATACCAAGATATTTAAAACAAGATTAATAACTTTTAATACAAAATTGATCGCATGACCATGCAATTTGTATGAAATATTTTTTAACAGTTTTTAGTTTTGTTTCTAACTAAAAGTCATAAATCATTGGTAACTATTTTACTGACTTAGTCTTTGGCTTGACCCTTTATGACTTTCATGTAAAAACTCATCTTTGAAATAAAATGCAACGCTCACCATGTATTTCATATTTTAATTATTTTTTTAATTTCCTTAGACAGCGATACGTATATATATTTTTTTATTTAGGAAGATTTGTAATTTTACATGTTACTTGTCATATAAAATTGTCCTATGCCAATTAATATCGCCAATATATAAATATATCTATGGACAAAGATTTAAATTAACAAGTTAGAAAAAATACAATCACCTAAATTAAAAATGGAACGATCCTATTGGAACACAGAAATAATGTATTAATACCGAAAATGAAAATTTAATTTCTATAGAAATGGAATTCAATTCCGATTAACGAAAACTGGACTTTGAATAAATATTGTGTTTACATTAATATTTCAGCGTATTTTTTTATGCAAACAACATACATAATACCTATTATTTCAACGGTCATTTTACAATAGGTACAATTCAAATATATATATATATATATACCAGCTACCTGTGTACGTATGTAACATTATTTTTTTATCAGATATTTAAGTAGATTAAAATAAAATAACAGGTAAATAATTATAAAACAATTAAACACTACCTAATAACTTCTGTTATTTTTGACGACCTCAGTGGTATAGCGGTCTAGCACACCGCTTTACATCCGATGGTCGCGGGTTCGATTCTTCGCACGGCACAAACATTGGTATTCATGAGTATGACTGTTTGTATCGGTCTGGGTGGCCATGTGTTTTCCATCAATTTACAGAATCCAGTGAGGGCCCTAGTCTAAACTATTAACTGCTGTTAACGTATTATATGAATATAATAAATTTTATATGTATATTTATACACACTGAAGAAAAATTAGGGATTATTTGTTAACAAGTTGTTACCCTCGATTGCGTCTGCTTCTTTTGACACAATTAACCTATGATATGTATACATGTATAACCTACCTATTTATTTCCTTCCACTCAATCTATTTATACGTTAATTTTCATTAAGATCCGTCAGCTATTTATCATTAACAAACATACATAGTGACAGACACATTTGGATATGGACGGATGGATGGATGGATCATCTATATTAATATTATAAAAAGCTAAAGTTTTTTGACTTTGACTGTTCGGTATAATCACGGTAGCACTAATCTAATTTTGAAAATTCTTTCAGAGTTGGAAAGCTGATTTATCGAGGCAGAGCTATTATAACATCATGCTATGACCAATAGGAGCAAAACTGCAAGGAAAAATATTGCAAAAACGGGGAAAAGGTGACGCAGACTAAGTTGCATGGATCAACAAATTAAAAATAACAATAGATGGTCGTTTACATTAAAAATAATACATTAGAATTTAATTTAACCTAAGAGTGTACACAATACGATTTCTCGGTCCAAAAAACAATAATCAGTTGTTTGTATATGTCTATCTAACCGTAATGTTACTGGCACAAATAAAAAACTGGGTCGTTTCGAAGCAGATATTTTTTTTACAAAATAAACCTCTTTTGTTACATTAAAGAAGCTCGGGAAAGTCTGTAATGTTTTTCATAAATATTAAATGTGGAGGTACGAACAGATGTAAATTACTTATGAGGTAAACAATTTTCCAATTTATTTCGTGGGTCGCTGCCTAATGCTGTAAAACTTAGAGGCGTATCGTAGGTTTGAATCGGGCAGATTAATTACTTGTATTACAGTAAATTTTTGCCTAGTGATTAGTGAACATATCATTAACTCTCTGCAAAAATTGAATGATCATTCCAGGCATGTTACATTTTAATATGCTCAGTAAAATATAGACAAAGTTGTCATGTTGAGAACAGGTATGATTGTTTGACATTCATACTGTGACGGTCTCGATGGTCTAGCGGTTTAGTACGCTGCCTTACTTCCGATAGTTACGGAGATCGATTCCTCGCATGGAACAAACATTTGTATTTATACGTATGATTGTTTCTATCGATATGAATGTTTCTATGTATATAATGTATGTATTTACAAAAAAATACATATTTATATCAGTTGTCTAGTGACTATGACACAATCTCTGCTTAATTTAGGACTAGATGGCGCTGTGTGAATTGTTTTAAGATATTATTATATTATTATTATTCTAGTAATTGTAATTACTGTGAATCCGTGACTGTTGTTTCATTATTGTTCTAAACAACCATACTTATTGTACTTGTAAATAGTTATTGTAACTTATAAACATTTCTGGGTAGGCTAGGGGTAGTGGTAAAATATTTTGAAACTTTACCACCATTGGCCACCACCACGCCAGACCATGTATTGTTTCCATATGCACTAAAGACGATTTAGGGATAATTTTTGAACTACTTGTTAATCGCAAATTGGTCTGCTTTTTTAGATAAAAGATAGCCATCTATCCACGTGGCTCAATTTATACCTATCTTAATTTTCTTTGTGATCCATGCAAACATTTATTCATAAAAATATAACAGACAGATGGAATACTTTCGAATTTATGCCAGTATGGATTAAAAACGTGTAATTCTATATTGATCATTTATAACAACTCTACGGTTTAAGCTCATTTTATTTATTTATGTATTAATTCGAAACAAATTGTGTATAAATAACTTATAAGGTCTAAAATATAATAGTAACTCAAAAATTATATTATTATTTATTTGGATAGGTATTCGGTTCGTTAATTTTATATGTGAATGTGAATTTCATACAAATTAAGATAGCCATTTATTTATGTATCAGTAAAAAATAATATATAAATATTAAAAAGTTGCTGTTTAAGTAAGATTACGAAATTTAGTTAATTTATCTAATTTTCCTGCTACGAAAACAAAACAATACAAAATTTTATCTACTAAAAGACGTACACATAACTAAGCGTAAGCACATTACAGATTAGAAAAAATTGAAATTTTTATAAAGACTATTATTTTATAGGGTTGTTTGGGCTATTGTCAGGTGTCTGTAGCACTTGTAGCACTGCAACCTACATGGGTCTATTGTACTCGCCCTTTTTCATAAAAGACTAACAACTGTGTCTTACGTTTATGATATAGTTTGATTCCTAAAAGTTTACAATTTGTTCATACACGTTTTCTGTTTTCTTCCTTCAAAGACGGATCATGCAAACTGAATATTTCTAAAAGTATTTATCTAGATTTCCAATTAATCCTATAAAATTAGTACTTAGGAACTAAGACGAAGATGAGTTGTTGCTCATCGCTGTTGCAAATCTATTAAATTCTCACACCTACATTTAAACAGCATTTCGTTTAAATGTAACTATGACAATAGATTACTCAAATTGCGAATTTTAAGTCCAGAAATATCGTGTTTTTTGTTTAATAAACACGTAGGTATGATATTTTAAAAGCTTTTGCTTGAGATGTTTATTATAAGAATTAATGTTACTCATAGATTATACCTACAAATAGTTAGCCTAAACAATTCGAGTTCTGAGAAGTTATACCCATTCATGAAAAATATTTATAGACGATATAAGTAAACATGTATCTACTGTTTTAGTGATAAAATATTTAAAAAGAAGAGTATTACTATCCCACTATGTTTTTTATCCAAGTATGTTTTTTTAGATAAAATGTAACCTATGTCCTTTCATATTAAAATTTATTTATGATCTGTTCAGTCATTTATACGAAAAGGTGACAAATAGACAGTTAGATGCACTTTCGAATGTATAATATTAGTGTATGATAGTATAGAAAACGAACTATTTTATTTGAACACCAAGAAAATCTAACTATATATCTGGAAGTTGGAGCTAGTAATTATATATTCAATAGATTTAGACATTCAGAAAGTACAATATCATATCGACATACAGCAGTTATTACATAACACTCACTCATATCCAATGGCGCCGAAGGGTCACCTTTTTAACTGTTATAAAAACCATAATATCCTATAATAAAACGAATTCAAAGAAAATTCAGAGCTATCAAACTTTGCAATAACATGACTTGGAATTTTAATTATGATTAAAAAGTATATTATAAATAGACAATGGTAAAAGGACATGATTCCACTACTAAACAGCACATAAACAATTTCATTATTTATTTTACGTTAAAGATCTACCTATATGTTTATAGTTCTTCTCAAAGCCATATATTTCAAAATGTTTTCAAATTGTAAATCATTTGCAATACACGAAAACAAGTTATTGAATTTATTCACGTTTACCTAATTTTATTTCAATCATCATATATAACTAACTGAGAATTCCGTTAGTTCTACTCCATAACACAATTATTAGGTATATAATAAAAAACAATCGTCTAATATTCAAAGTTGTCAAATATTTTCAAACTGGGCTTATATTAATTTCATTCAGTCGCTCCGATAAATACAAACGGATTTCCTTCGAGTTTCTTTTAAAAACCCCTCGACAGTTTAATTCTTGATTAATTTCCGGGAGCTCAACATTTCGCCTCTCCAATTTTCTTCAACGTATAAAAAAGGCTTATAAATATAATATTTCAATCTAAATCATGACGGCCCCTTGTAATTTCGGACAAGAAAACACCTCACCTCGAAAATAATTTCAATATCAACCGTCTGAAGTTTTAATTAGAACTATAAAAGAATTTTACGGAACAATAAATTTTGCACGAAAATAAGCAGGAGCTAGCAACGAACGATTTATCTTAAACCGAACTTTGTAAGTTCTTACCTGTCCATGATTAATGAAGCCGTGTTTGTGTGCCAGTTCGTCGGCAAGCCGTGCCCCACCGGGGACGTGAACGGCGAACTGGTGATGGTAAAGAGGAACACAGGAGTCCAACACTGTCAGTAGCACGAACACGCCGAGTGCTACCATCACGCACGTCGCGCATTGCACGATCCCTACCTGTTCATCAAGGTAACAAGTTCCATCGGCTCTCGTATTTATTACGTCAACACCTTAATTCATTTTTAATTCCACAGTTCGTGTAACCACTAATGCTGTTTTAATCGACGCGAGTTTCGTTTACGGCCACCGGGAATTGTTTTTCGACGTCCTTTCCCATGGACATCTCAGTGAACACTGAATCCTCGTGACTGTGGTCTTTTCAGGAGTTTTAGGGGGCGCATGCGCGTGAATTGGCGCCCTTTCTTCAGCCCACTTACTATCTGAACGTATTGTGTGTGCCATCAATTGACTCGCATTCTTAATTGGATCAGATTGTCGTGATGCGGTTGTACTTATTGTTGCTGAATACCAATTAAGTCCATCTCGAAAATAATTGTCTACATATCACATAATTTTATATTTTCTCCGACATTCCTACCCTACTTTTAAAGACGGTTTCAATAGAAACTTCAAATACTAATTACATTTCGATGTTTATTATTTATTACTGTATTCTAATCTACTTTTATCCTGATTTATAGTTAATCAGCTGTTACCATCAACTTTATTTGATTTTTTTGATATGTGGTAATCCTAGTCCGTCCTCGCTATACAATCTATCTTCATAACTATTCATATTTCTTTAAGATCCGTTCAGACATTTAGTTGTGAAAAGGTTACTATGAGCTCATTATCTTTATAATCCTAACAAGCTTCAATAATATCCCTAGACAATTCACAAAACGCCATCTAGTACCAAGCTAAGCAAAGCTATATAGATACTAGATAACTGAACCCACGACCAAGCGACCTGCTATACCTCCGAGCCCAAAACAAAACAATACAAATTTATACTTTTCTTATAATCTTTTTTTTCTTTCATTGTATACAATCTATACTAATATGTAACAAAAGAGCGATTTTGTTATGGGGAAAGTAAACTCCAAAACTCTTACACGAATTTGAGAAATTCATTCACTGCTTGAAAATTATGTTATTACAGAGTTAGATACCCTATGTCATTAAGGAATAATATTAACATATATAAAACTCACGAAGTTATGAACTCCCGAGCGAAGTCAGACCACTAGTATACAACTATAGGAGTTGATACTAATATCTATAAGATAGGATAGAGTACTACGATGTTACCCAGATCCGGAACAAAACCGCACCAGCCGCCGACCCAACAAACTTAAAGACCAAGAATCCTTTAAAACACGTCCGTTTTAAATCCTCTTGTATTTAAGTTACGATCTTTAGAATTATATCCTTGGCCATTACAGTTCACTAGTTACTTCTCACGACTTTGCCTGTCTTTTTGGAGATTTAAGTGTCTATGTACGCCCTTGTGATTTAATATTCCAATCCTGATGTCAATAATTTCGCATTTACAGTATTAACTAGCGTCTCTCCCCGACTTCGCACGGGTGTATTACAAATCTTTTAATTTCTCGCCTTAACGTACTGTATTATATATGTCTCTTAAATCCTTCCTCGATAATCTCTCTATCTATTACTGAAAACTGAACTAAAATCCGTTGCGTAACTTATAAGATCTAAACGTACAGACAGCGGCAACAACTTTGTGTTTGCTGTGTAAATATGTAGTAGTATCTAACATATAATTAGGTGCGTATAGTTTCATTAAAGTTTATTTAAATAGTTATCATAGTAAGAATTTTGTCTACAAAAACATATATACAAATTCATCTGTATCTTGGTCTTTTTTTATATCGTTAATAAAAATGAAAGATTTTTATAACTAAGAAAATACAACGGTGTCTCGACGTACCTACCCACTCAAGATTCCCAATATATGTTCTAAATGAACAATGTATTAGAAATAAGTTTTTAAATAAGTACCTTTAGTTAAATAAACTTAATAGAATTTGAAAGAATGGAATTAAAGTAGTACATCCTCGCCTTTTTCTGTTTTTTATACTACGATGGTGGCAAACAAGCATACGCCCATTTGATGGTAAATGGGTACCATAGCCTGTGGACGCTTGAAACACCAGGGGTGTCACGGGTGCGTTGCTAACCTTTCAGAAATCTTAACATACCCTTCTTAAAAAACCTTATGCTGTAGTCTCTCGTGAAATCCTTGGCAGCTAGTTCTATCCATAATCTAAGTAAGTATCCACGTACACTTGTACGCGGAAAGAACATCCTCTGTAACCCCACTGTCTGAGACCACTTAGTTTCTAGCATGTGGGGATGAATTCCCTGTCGATGGTGAGCGATGGGAAGGTAAAAGGTTTCTATACTGATGTGACACACATTGTCAATAAAGCTTAAAGAATAATAAGAATTATTTTATACAAAAATGTACTTAATTAAAAACTTAACTAAATTTGAAACAATTGTCAACTGTGTAATAGTAATTCACCATACCTCGTAACTTTATTAATACTATAACCAAGTATAAAGTACAAGCATTCATTAGTACACTTATTCCCAACTGCAGACCAGTTCATAAGTATACTATGTACCTACTTGCTAACTTCTAAAACAAATAAGGCATTTGAATTCTCAACCTCTTGAATTGAATACCCACCAAGTTTCTGAGTCGGCGGCTTTTAAAAAGTCATGTTTTAAAAGTGGTTCCGTGTTTAAAATTCGATAAAGTTGCAAGAGAAATATTCGTTTGGCATTTTTATCTTAGTTTCAACATTCTGAGGTTATTTCAGTTTGGGCAACTTTAACTTAAAGTTTTATATGAATGAGTCTTCGCTTCGTTTCATGAAAACTACTAAACTGTGCCCTTGAGATGGTCCGTGTGGACTTTAATTATATTTTATCAAATAACAATGTTTTAAAATCCTAAGAATTCGTTGCTACACATGATTTATTTCATTGGAATAGTTCTCAGAATCATGCATAGTTGAGTATCAGATATTCAGAAAATTTCATTAAAATAAAGGTTTAACGTTCAACACATTCGTATTGTGCTACCCAGTAAATGACATTAATACTTTGAAGTATCCAAATATTGAAATAGAACATTCTGAGATAAGTAAGATGAATTTAATTCTACATCTCAGTCTACAGTGAAAGAAAGTAAGTGAATTGAACTAGTTACAAACAGAGTCGCTATTGTTGATGCTGAAGAAATATAATAACTATCACTAAAACTAAAGATTACAACTATAGTAAATATAACAAACGTTGATAAATGTAACAATACATTGTTTAACAAATATGACATATAAGACATAACGGGAATGAATGATAAAAACATAATTACAAACACTATTGATATTCAGTAGAAAAGAGGTACTAATTTCAACAAAGACGAATGTTTTCTGGGATTAGTCTAGTATTGAACAATATAGACTGCAAAATGAATAAGTATTATTGAAAGTTTATTTTTTTAATTTTGGTGAAAATATTATGAAACATATAAGAAGATACACATTAAATAGTAAATAACGTACGCATATCATACACACATAAATGATGCCTTCGAACCGAATGACGTTCTTTAAGTCTTCATCATAAAAAACATTTATATATGGGATTAAGATTTCTAATATCACTTTGTTTCTTTTTTGTTTTGCCGTCCAGTTCATAAAACAGTTTTAGTCAACAAGAAACAATAAATTATTACATTACACCATCTAAAACAACGTTTCAATTAACTTCTTGAACGTATCTTTTGATAGCTTGTAATAAAACTTTAAGATTTTATTTAGCTCGTTAACTACCCTCGGCTGTGCGTTGTTCTTAAAAAAAATAATTGAAAACGTCACTTGGGCTCTTAAAATGGGAGGCGAATGACCGAATGAAAAAGTTTTATAATGATTCACTCTGTAACTTCTATTAAAGTAGCAACATCATTTTTGCTAGACTGTCGAAGAATGGTGTATGGCAATATATTCTGAGCGTATATAATATATATGTATGTGTACATATAATAATAATAATGAATAACCCTGGACAATTGACACAGCGCCATCTGGTCCCACGGTAAGCTTAGTGCTTAAAGCTCGTGTTGTAGATACTAGACAACGGATAAAAATCTTAAATATTTTATATACATAGAAAATACCCAGACCGATACAAACAATCATACTTATAAATACAAATGTTTGCACCGTGCGAGGAATCGAACCCACGATCATTGGAAGTGCGATGTGCTGAACCGCTAGACAACCGATACCGTCGATGTTATATAAAGTACATATATATACGAATACATCCTTAAAATAATTAAAAGTGTTTAATTAAATATTGTAAATATCACACATCACAACACATACTAATGCCAATACTTCGTTCAACTAAGAACACAATATATAAGACTAATATGAATTTATAGATACAGAAAACACTCGTTTTTGTAAGTTCAGAAAACATTATGTTATATAGATATAACATTTATTGTTGTTACCTGTATAAAAAAAAACAAAGAACAATTTGAGAAAATTCTAGCTTGACCGAAAAAACTTTTCACAACTGAGCACGAGTTTTTATATTTCGTGGAAAGGACAACACAACAACAAATCCAGTATTATTCACAACTGTAGCCACGATGATGATCACGATTCTGTTGTAAAATCCATTCAGTACTTTATGCGTGAAAGAGTAACAAACATCAATCCATACTAACAGACTTTCGCATTTATAATATTAATAATAATAATAAGAATTCATTATTCATTCACATTCCCACAAAAATTCATTATTAGATACCTACTTCCAATCATCGCGACGAAACGAGATTGTTGGTATAATCAGATAATTCTTATTAAGCTCATTATCAAATACAGCTTAATTTCGTGATCCGATTAATTCCCATCGCCCCATTACTCCATTAAATAATCAAACCGTAATTGAATTGCGACCGTTGTTGAGGTTGTCAATCCCATGATAAGTTTATAAATTGTCTGTAACGCTGAAGTTGTCATTTTAACAACAATTTTAACAATTAATATGTCTTAATAACATTCAGAAAGTTTGTGAATGGAGCGAGATTCCTTGGTAATTAATTATAAAAAAAATAAAAGTAATCTTAGAATATATTTAGCTGTACTATAAGAATAGTAAAAAATGATATAATATAAAAAGGAGTATCAAAATAGCATTCCTAAAAATGTGGTGCAAACTCCCAGTGCTTAAGTTTATAGTCATTTTTTGATGTTTGTTGCTGACCTAAAATGATTATAGATTTTTATGTG